TGCAGTAATTGGCGTGTCCCAGATTTACGACACCACCTGAACGCATCGTGAGACGTGTCTCGTCCAAACTTCCGCCTCTGCTCCGCAGCAGTGACAGGCGGAACGACAACAAAATGCTATAGTTAAGCCTCACGGGCGAGCTGGGGATCAATGACAGCTTCTTTAACGCGTCCCGGTCTACATTAATGACTTAAATGTCACCCATTTGTTCCCGAGGCGTGTGGCAGTAAGAGACAAAAAAAATCAACTATGCAGTTCCCTCCCTCCAACGGAGATTTCACATTCGTCTCATCCTCAGAGGCTGAAGGTATGCTAACCTGGCAGTAGGCCTTACGGAGACTGACACATATCGACTGAGTTTTTATATTCACTGTTGTGGAAGTGACAAGGAGATTTTCAGTATGCTTTCAGGAGAAAATGGTAAACGGTGCGCAGAACATTGTTAAAAGGCTAACTCAACCGTTTCACTGTTAGCATGCGAGCTAACGTTAGCTATGCTAACCACTGATGTGAGCCTCAAACACACCACTTCAAAACTATGTTCCCTTTATGATAAAAGGTTTTTAAAGAAGATATTGTAGGACCGATAGCTTTCCACTAACTGCCTAAGTGCGGTCCGAGCCATCTTTGCTAAATATAACTAAAATATAACTTGTCCACTTGTCGATTCAATTTTAAAGCTAGTCGTAAAAGCCCAGCTGTTTCAGTCCGATTGCACATAAATGGGAAGTGTGTCACTTTTTGGTCATTTAAGAACGTACTATTAAAGCTAACAACTGTGTTATTCATATTTTGATCCATTATGTGGTTCCTATGAGGAATTGTAAACTCAAACTTGTGGTGAAATGTGACCAAACAGAAGCAAACAGCCCAAACACCCACAGAGATAGGGATTTTTACAGTTTACAGTTAAATCCAACATGGCTGCAAACACCTAATCTTGTTATTTAGATAAAGCTCCAAATCTGACCTACTTTATGGAAACATTTATCCTAATTTGACTCCGTAGATTGAATGGGAAAAAGAGAAGACTGGAACATTTCTGCTTGGTTTGTCACAAAAAAAACTCTGTTTGGGCTTGAATTCTGCAGAAATGAGTGTTTATCCTTGTTTATAAGGACAATTCTTCTCCATGTGGAGTTTCGACTAGTCAGTATCTGCATTTCAAAGTGACCCATTTTTTGTGCCGACGCTCTGAAACTGTGTCGGTCAGAGCTGAGCGGCACCATCAGCACCCCCGATGTGAAGCTGAACATGGGCAGCGATGGCGGGAAGGACCCCTACGCCACGGCCTTCCTGAGACAGCGGGGCTACGGCTGGCTGCTGGAGGTGGAGGAGGACAGCGAGGAGAGCAAGCCGCTCCTGTGAGAACGCCGGCTTTCTTTAATTCAATCCAATTTTATTTATATAGCGCCACATCACAGCAACAGTTGTCTCACAGCTTTCCAAACAGAGCAGGTCAGACCTACTCTGAAGTTAACTACAGAAACCCAACAATTCCCACCATTAGCAAGCACTAGGCGACACAGGCGAGGAAAAACTTCCTTTTTCCTTCCTTTCCTTCCTTTTTTAGATTTTCTTTTTTCAAAGTTTTCAGTACAACGTTAATGACACAGAACAGTTCGACATAGAGAGCAGTTGGCAAAAATGCAGCTTGTTGAAAGTAGCGATGAATCGTGAACCATTTTGAAGCACAGCACATTTTAATTCAATTCAATAAAATTTTATTTATATAGCGCCACATCACAACAACAGTTGTCTCACAGCTTTCCAAACAGAGCAGGTCAGACCCTACTCTGAAGTTAATTACAGAAACCCAACAATTCCCACCATGAGCAAGCACTAGGCGACACAGGCAAGGAAAAACTTCCTTTTAACAGGCAGAAACCTTGAGGAGAACCATGGCTTTAACCGTCCATCTTCCTCTGGTTCGAAAACAGAAAGTCCAGATGAAATTGGTTTAACTCCCTAGTAGGGTTGTCAAAAGTATCGATACTTAAAAAAGTATCGATACTAAAATGTTGTATCCGGATACAATACTCATTTTCAAAAGTATCGCTCCCCTTTTCTCACATTTATTTATGTATTTATTTACGTTGTTTATGGTCATTAACAAGACGTTAGCCTTGAATTGCTAGCTGCGGCTAATGGCTAATAATAACATGCTACCATTAACCAAACAACATTTATTTCTCACAATTATGAAAGGTGGACGGTTAGGGTTAGGGTTAGGTTTAGGGTCAGGGTTAGGTTTAGGGTTAGGGTTAGGGTCATTAATGACCTCAGTAACAAGTAAGTTTGAAACCAAAGACACTAACCTATCCAAATTCCGTTAAATTTTGGGGTCTTTGTTTTTATCCTTGTGGTATCGAAAATAGTATAGAGTATTTTCCTGAGTATCCGTATGGAGTTGAAAATTTTAGTATCGTGACAACCCTACTCCCTAGTTCCTCTTTTGGTTGGACCTGAAGTCGGGCCTAAATCCTGGGGCTTGCCTATCTGACCGTAGACCCAGGGGACTAAAATATTGCCCTATTTTCTTTGGTAGAAAATGTAGAAATGCTCTAATCCAGCTTTTAGCTCAAACTGATCTTTTTTTTAATGTTTGGACTTGAAAGAAATTCCTCTGAACTATTTTGTAAAAGAGGATTCTTTGTAGTTTGACACGGATTTCAAGCTCTTGTCAGGATTTCTGTCCTAGCATGATTCATTTTTTTATTTATTCATTGCAAACCAAACAGGTGGCCGATGTCCAAGTGCATAAGGCTTGTAGCCATGGGCTAATTTGCAGCCTTCGTCCCTGGTTAGGCTTTTAAAAGGTGTTAGCATTAAGGGGGGGGGAGGTTAGTAACCACACACAGATGCATAAGAAACAAGAGAAGTTAAAAAAATAAAAAAATAAAAAGGTAAAGTACAAGCCAGTTTAGTGCTCACACTCTTGATTGTCTTTGAGCCATTTTTTGACCCATCTGACCCATAGATGTCCGACATCTTTCATCATGTGGCGCTGTGCTCTCTTTCTGCCGGCAGGGAAGAGCTGGACATCGACCTGAAGGACATCTACTACAAGGTCCGGTGCGTGCTGATGCCCATGCCCTCTCTGGGCTACAACCGGCAGGTGGTGCGGGACAACCCGGACTTCTGGGGCCCTCTGGCTGTGGTCCTTCTGTTCTCCATGATCTCCATCTACGGACAGTTCAGGGTGAGCGGAAAACAGAGGGCGGCCCAGGCTGATGCTTTTGTTGTGTGTGTGTGTGTGTGTGTGTTAGGGTTGTCAAAAGTATCGATACTCCAAAAAGTATCGACAGTAAAATGTTTACTCTGTATACGATACTCATTTTCAAAAGTATCGATACCACCGCCCCTTCTCTCTTATTCATTTATGCATTTATTTACGTTGTTTATGGTCATTAACAACACGTTAGCCTTGAATTGCTAGCAGTGGCTAATGGCTAATAACAACACGCCAACATTAATCAAATACGTCTGGCTTCAAACTCCGCCCACGTCCAAGTCGGCCATTTTGATTACGTCGCCAATCGGAAAATTCCTGGCAAGAAAATCGTAATTGCTTCATGGCAATATAGATATTAATTTAATAAAATGGTGAAATGAATCTTTCAAACACTTAATTATACTCTATACATATTATTATGTTAAAATAGTGGATGTTAAATAGGTTTGTACAATAAGTCCAAACAAGTTTAACCAAAAAATATTTATTTCTCACATCTATGAAGGGTGGGGGGTTAGGGTTAGGGTTAGGGTTAGGGTCAGGGTTAGGGTTAGGGTCAGGGTTAGGGTTAGGGTCATTAATGCGGGCCACCAGTCACAATAACATCAGTAACAGGTCAGTTTGAAATGAAAGACACTAACCTGTCACAATTCAGTTAAATTTTGGGGTCTTTGTTTTTATCCTTGTGGTATCGAAAATGCTATCGAGTATCGAGTATTTTCCTGAGTATCGGTATCGAGTTGAAATGTGCTCTCTGTGAACAGGTCGTGTCTTGGATCATCACCATCTGGATATTTGGATCTCTAACTATTTTCTTGCTGGCCCGCGTTCTGGGCGGGGAGGTGAGTGGTTCTGACCACAACCCGCCCCCCCCCCCCCCCGTTAATCCACGTGTGTTCTTCAGGTGAGAGTTGTGGTCTTTCGGGCAGGTTTCTTACGGCCAGGTTCTGGGGGTGATCGGGTACTCGCTCCTGCCGCTGATCGTCATAGCCCCACTGCTCCTGGTGATTGGAGGATTTGAAGTGGTGTCGACACTAATCAAAGTGAGTCCAACACATTGTTCTGCCTATAAAATAGTGGTGAATTGAGCGGTATACAGAGTGGATGGATGGGGCTTGGATTTATTCGTTTAAAGGAGACATATCATACCCTATTTTAACAGGTTAAGCTAGCTCCCTGGTGTCCTAATGTAATGTCTGTGACAAGCTTTGGTCAGAATCCCATAAGGATGAAGCCCATTAGCAGTTCAGTCCCCCTGCCTAACCCTAACCCTAACCCAAAACAGCCCCGTTCAGAGCGCTCGCTTTGGAGTGCCTGTCTCTTTAAATGCAAATGAGACACAGGCCATCCGCCCACTTCTTCAGGGAGGTGTGCCCACGTCGGCACGCTAACGCTAGCACGCTAACGCTAGCACGCTAACGCTAGCACGCTAACGCTAGCACCCTAACGCTAGCACGCTAACGCTAGCACGCTAACGCTAGCACGCTAAGGCTACCACGCTAACGCTATCACGTTAACGCTACCACGCTACCGCGTTAACGCTACCACGCTAACGCTACCATGAGGCGGCCCACAAAAACACGACCGAGTCATTTTTTTTCACACTTCTCCTGCCGATAGGCCCTCCACAGTCCCAAATGTACATAATCAAATGATTAAAAACTTGATTTTGCTTAATATGTCCCTTTTTAAAGAAGCAAAAAAAGCATTTTTAGCTAAAGCAAATGATGTAACAGATATTAAACAGTGAGGCAGAAGTAGGAGGACGTCTTTTATTCCTGAACCAACAGGGACCGTGACTTTTGAATATCCCGGTTATGTGTGAT